TAACGAAAGGGCAAAATAGTTTTAAAATTATCAAATGTAAGGTCGTTTAAAGCCATGAGAAAGTGTAAAAGGAACTTACTTGATTCGGGCGCAGGCTCATTTTCTTTAACCTCGGCTATCGGATACCAAAATGCGTCAAAATTCAGTTCTCCTTTTGGATTTCCTTCATGTAAAACTTGAACGGTACTATAAAATATTAACCGAACAACGCACACGATTATTAACGTTCAAACTTAAAAATTCAAAGCATTCACATGAGCTCTTTTAGGCCCACCTGTTGGAATGATTAGGGTTTTCAACTAAACTTTGCAAGAGGAAAGTAGTGCTACCAAGTAACCGATCAGCGCTAATCTTACTATTAGAATCGAATATATTGAACTTTAAAATATCTTTTGTATTATTAAGTAACAAATAATAAGTTTCATTCCAAACTGGATTTAATGAATTGTTGATAACTTTTGTACGTGATATTTCTTTTTCGGCTATCGTGACGTCAGATGATTGCACCATTACTTTACAATACGGGTCCGATGTACCACCAAACCTTTCGGCGTTTCTTAGATTTTTGGCGCTCTTGATGGTTAATTTCAATACTCCTATTGCTGACTCTATTGGGTAACCGTATAATAAATATTCCGGTATCAATGTAAAGACATTTGGATAGTACATCATTGGTCGGAGCGTTGCATGTACTTGTTCCCTAATAAACGACGACAATCCGGGAATCTAAATTGGGGTGAAAAAAGGGGAAAGGATTTAGTAACGGTCTTTCATTTTCACTTTCTCTTCAAGAGGAAACTCACATTGCCAATATCAAATCCAAGGGTGTCACCTCCAATTGGTTTTAATACATAATTAATGACCGGTGGTTCGATAAAACATAAGTCGATTGTTTCAACATGAGGAAACGTTGGAATTAACTTCAATTTTACCCTCATTAATCCCGTGAATGACATATTTTCTACCAAAACTGGCATTCCCGCTCCCACGAATCCCCTTCCTACTCTTATAGTTAACACTACTTTAGGATTAACCTTGTTTGCCAATTGTGCTTTTGTCATATTTGCCAAATCATTTGGCACAAAACTAATTTTCCAGTCCATAACCTACATAATAACGAAAAAAAAAAAGATGGCATTTAATTGTATGCTAAAGACTTTTTTTAAAAAAATGGAACGGCATCGTTTGACAATTTTTACGTACCACCTCATTATCGTCAGTTTTCGGGTAAGATTTTACAGATTCGATTACGGCGGGTTTTGAACCCAGAGTAAAATTTGTTAATCTTATAGAATCTAAAAAGTTTGGCGTAGAAGCAACCAAAACACTATCAGCTATTTGAATTACCGAGGCCGATAACACTGGTTCATAGATTAACCAAAATCTACGTAAAAATTCATTTAACCATTCAACCTTTTCTTCTTCATCCTCCAACCTTTTTGTTGCAACTTCTCTACCAATATCACTTCGAGCGTTTCTATAAAATCTCCTTGAAGAATTCTTCAAATACGTGGCTACAATGAAATCAAAAATAGGTAAAGACAAAGAAATTTTTCAAACGATGATGTTGTGCAATCAAATGCATACCTATAAATGCGCATAGAACAAGGATCCAACCAAAACTTCCACCGCATGATGCAATCAGCCAAGTCGCAAATGTAGATGTTATAACAACACTCGAATATAGCCACAAGTCGTTACATTGCAACTCTTTTAAAACGTCTTCAATTTGTAATGATTTATTGGAGTCGGTCATTTCGAAAACTCTCTTCCATCCAATTTTTTCCCAATTAGGAATTTCTGCTGCGGATTCGACGGCTAAATGAGGCTTGTTGCCTTCGGGCTTTTCTACCGTTGTGGTCACTCCTTCAGAATCAACAACTTTTTCTTCCGCATTATCGGAAACTACGGCTTTAATTGAACTTGAACCTGTCAAACCAATTGATGCACCAATCGACCTGGCCTTTTCTGTTGGGGATGCATTTTCGTTTAATTCGTAAACCGGAGTATCGGAAGCTTTAAGGATTTGGTTTATTTCCGATTTCATTTCTTGTGACATTTTTTTTTTTTTTTTAGATTTTGAAAAAGGAAGATAAGATAAAAACGAGGTTTTAAATTTTTACCAAAAATTTAAGGTTAATCATACATATAAATTTTTTAAGTTGGGACGGGGGAAAAATTGGGAAAATGAGCGGAAGTCAAAGCCCAAAATATAATATTTTATTTAAAAAAGGTTTATTGATTATTATTTATTTATATATTTGTACAATACGAGTACAAAAACCTCAAGTGGTGAGCCAATTACTGTTAATATGATGTTTAATAAATAGAACGTGAGAATTACGAATATTTTTTAATATTTTTTGACGTACCATTCCGAATATATTCTAATGAAAGAGGAAACATTAAGCCCTCTTTAAATAACATCATAAAATTATTAGGTTAATCAAAATTCCGGAACAATTTAAAAAGTTATGTGTTTGTTCATCATGAAATAAATCGACTGAAACCTAAACGAACATCATTTTTATTATGTAAGATGATACATTTATGATAAATTAAATAAATTTAGCATTGTTTAAAAAAAGTTAACCTTACCTGATTTCGGACATACAAAATTCTTTTCAGAACGCTCAGGCAATGATTTTATTTTTTTTAGCCCCATTCTCAACTCATGGTATGTGATGAGGCAGGCTGAAACGGATGATTTCTCGATTTGGGACGTCAATCCATCTTGGATCGACGATTTCATAGAAGATATGGTCACCTATTGAAAGTTGACTAACTTGGGAAATGGAATTTCGACACGTGATTGCGAAGAAATATCAGGTCACTACCAAATTTGTTCAGATGATCCGATCCCATTATGTACAATTAGATGGGATTTTTATATAAGAAATCTTTTAACAAAAGATCAACACGAGACATTTTTGATACGACTAAAAGGTTTATAATTCGTTACAAATTGTAGGTGCATGAACAAGTCAAGATAGGAAAGCATTTGATTGGCAACATGATGTATCAAAAGATGAAATTGACAGATGACTTTCGGCAAGACATTTATCAGGTATCGTGCCGAAATTACATTTCGGCAGGAGATCTCTGGTAACATAATTGTACAAAGTATCTGATCTTTAATGTAAATCAACTTGTAATCAAATCAGAGAGAAAATTATTAATAACGGCAACGGAGTGAGGCAAAAAAAAAAGATCAGTTAAGAAATCCAAAGATTGGATAAGGGGTAATACCCCATGTTGTTGAACAAATAAATAATTATTCTCATTTATTTTTATGTACACAAATTGTATTCCATTGTTTTTTTTTTTACAAATCGTAATTTGGTACGTGCAAACGTAAACGAATATTACTCAAAATCTGTTTGAATGCAAGTTGATTTATCCAATGACATTATTTGTTATATGTCTTGTCGATTACCACGTGATGACTAATATTTTTTGAACCAATCTTTGACGGGATTTTAGACAAATCATACATGAAAAAATATAACCAATGGACGGACAATTTTTATCAAAAAAAAAATCCTTTCACTAAAAGGAGAGGATGGTTCCTTGCTTGAAATCACGTGCAAGGTTTGGAGATCTTTAAAAATCCATCGTATTTGCCACAATATTTTGAGGGGACAACACATCACCTTGCTTCATTAATGAACTTTATCAATTATATTAGTAAACAAATTATTATACGATTTGGTATCCAAATCTCCGACTATTTGTTAAATCTTTTAATATTTTGAACAGATACTTTGCATATATTTTTGCAAGAGTCTCTTGGTTCATTTTGGCGCCAATAGATTGTGCCTTTTCAATACTTGATTGTGCAGGCATACATCAATAAACCGGACAACGAGTTCATTGCGTAATTCTTTCTCAATCGGAAGAAAGAGACAAACAAAACTTCACCAAGGGAGAGAGAGAGTAATTTAAATAATTCATTACAGAATTTTTGAAAAGATTTATCATTATAGAAATCTTTTTTTTTTTTTTCTTTTCCTCTTTTCCATTTTTTTCATTATTTACAAATGTAACGTTTAACGTTTATGTTTTATGTAAGATGGCGTAAGAGTGATGGATTTTTTTTTGAGACGTCAAAGCATATTGGCTGAAAGTCTTGCATGCTCCTTGCATGCATTAACTTCAATATTAACCCGTTTTTTTTTTTTTTGAATGATGATGATAATGGACAAATCAATTCTTTTGAATGAATGTAAATGCAGGGACATTCAAAGATTTTTTAAATTTATTTATTGCATGCTTAATATTGTTGAATGGGAAAAGAAGATAAATTTTGAATAAAAATAAACCCATCCAAAAAATTCAATCTAGGCCTGTTTATTTTAATTTCATCCCGCCAAAAATAAAATTTATAATTTTTAATAAATTTGTTTAAATTACCTTTATGTATTGGTCTCCTTCATAACTGATCCAAGGCCGCTTACATGATCGACGGCGACTTGCATATTGAGCGCGAAAAAATCAATTTAAACAGAATGTATATGCATTACCCACTTATTTGTCGCGTGCATTTTCAACTTTTTTTCTCTCTGATTTGAAAGAAAGTAAAAAGTTCATGTCCCTTTTAAGTTGATCGTGCTCAGACTAACATCTAATCATTCCCCAAGTTCTGAGTATATAATGAAAAGTTTAGGTAAGACTAACATTTTTTTTTTTTTAAAAAAAAATAAACTTCAAAAACAATTGTCATTTAATAATAATATAAAAAAAAATAAATATATAAATAAAGGATGTTTCGAAGAAAAATGATCTTTGTGGTTAAAAATGTATTAAGAATGGTAGATAATTACCTTTAAACGTATCCCCTCCACCAAGTATTACATTATAAAAGTCGTTTGTCTCACAAAACTCATCTCTTTCTTGTACTTCTTCTTTTTCCCTTTTTTTTTTTTTCAACTTTACTCGAAAATCCCATTCATATTACCGTAATTAACGTAGTCTACGAAATGACAAATATGAAAACCAACATGAGTAATAAGGAACCAAAACCCACAAATAACGTACATCATCCGCTTCTAATTAATTCTGCAGAGAATCCAAACGAAGATGGATTTGACGAATACATACTTGATACATTTCGTTACATTGGTGGCAGGAGATATCATAATGTCATCGATTCAAAGTATTACTTACCAAACGATTTAACCGAAATAGATCGTTTGGAAAAACAACACTATCTTTTTCGTCATATTTGGCAAGGTAATTTTTCTGCTCCTATACATGAAAATTTACGAAAAAAAGAAAATCATGCTTGCGTTCTTGATGTTGGGTAAGTTGATTGATATGTTGTCTATGTTGTTTATGTTTGTTGATGTTGCTTTCCTTTCTCTCCAAGGATCATGTTGTGACAGCATCGTTGTTCACGTGACTTTTCGCGCTTACCCCTTTTTCTTCTTTTCGCTCTCCAGATGCGGTCCAGGAACTTGGGTAACCGAGATGGCATATGAATATCCTTCTGCTGTATTTGTGGGAGTTGACATCTCACCTATCTTTCCATCAGATCAGAAAAAACCTGAAAATGCAACCTTCCTTCAAAATATGTTGGATGGCCTCCCGTTCGAAGATGATACATTCGATTTCGTTTATCAACGTTTTCTTGCTTCGGCAATCTCAGAGGAACAATGGAAAGGTGAAGTGATTTACGAATTATACCGCGTAACAAAACCAGGTGGTTGGGTCGAATTAATGTATGTAGAATAATAATTTTATTATCACATTCTTTAAATTCTTTTATTTATCTTTTTTTTTTATTTCCTCATAGGGAAGCCGACTTTTTTTCACCAGAAGAACATGAGGCACCGATTTGCCATAAATTCTATCGAGCACGTAGGTTACATACGAATTTTATGTATAAAGTTAATTCCTCTTGTATATTTTAATCTAATAAACATTTGTAAACTTTTTAATATAGTAATTGATTTCCTTGCTAGCCTAGGGATTAATGGCTTTATTAGTTCTCAACTTGAAAAGATTTTAACGAGTACTAAGTTATTTAAAAATATTCATTGCGAAGAACGTTCAACGCCAATTGGGCAATGGGGTGGTAGACTCGGAGAAATTGTAAATTTTTTTTTTATTAAAGAAAAATCTTTTTTTTTTAAAAGAAATGGTTTTATAAAATTAAATTGCAAATGATTTATTTAGATGTGCAATGACATGATCGATGGCGCCGAAGCTTGTAAACCCACCTTATCACAATTTATGGGTATTTCACATGAGGAATTTGATTCCATGTTGGAAGCCATACGTATAGAAGTTAATCAAGGACGATTTTATTCTAAGACCCATAGGTAAAGTCGAGGTTTTCTTTTTTAACCGTAATTTCAAATTAACATTTTCGTCATTCCTTATTATTTATTTATTATTTGTTTAGATTCTATGCCCAAAAAATTTAAAGGCCTAATTCATGATTAAATTAATAATTATTTTTATTATTATTATTATTATTACTATTTAGTATTATTTAAACAAAAAAAGAAACTTATACGAGTTTTTAAAATTTCTAAGATTAAGCCCTAAAGAAAAAATTTATATTTTATTAAACTACGTTATTAGGCTACATACATCGATATTTTTAAGATTATGCTCTACATAAAAAAAAAAAAAAAAAAAAAAAAAAAAAAAAAAAAGGTAAAAAAAAACCTATAAATTTTTTATTTTTATTATTCTATTAGGAGATATATATATAAATATATATATATAAAAAGCATATATTTTTATATCAAATGTAACAAATTTCTACGCTGTGCGTATATAAATAAATTTTCAATCAATTTTTATGTAATTATTATCTTTATTAGTCCGGAAGTCTATATATTTCTATGCAAAGTGTCCTGATGTTCAAATAATTGAGTCGATGCTGATTGGCTTTGTAATTGCACAAAATTCTAGATAAAGCAAATACCAGTGTTTAATTAAGATCGTTCCGGACTTAACAACGGTTAAATTATCTTTATTATTCATCTTTATTACCATTATCATTATTTATTTTACTATATTACATTTTCTAATATTATTCTTTATTATTATTTATTTATTACTATCATTTATTATCATTTATTATCATTATTTGTTATTTACTATTAATTTTTATTATTTATTATCCTAAAAAAAATTTTTTTTTTAAAAAGAAAAACAAAGTAAATATTATAAAATTTTATTACTATTATTTATTTATTTTAAATTAATCATATTATTTAGTTTTATAAAGATTCATTAATTTAAATAATATAATAAAAATAAAAATAAATTACTATTATTAATTTATAAATTTTTTTTTTAAGTGCAGTAGTTTTGCATAATCTTTATTAAATTTAAAGTAATTGTAATATAAATAAAACAAAATACAAATTTAAGAAAATATAAAAATCACTATCTAAATTAAAATTGATTTTGCACTTTTTTAAAATCTATTCTTAACCTAAGCTAAAAATATTACTTTCTAATATAATAGAAGAAAAGAAAGTACTTGATCATTATGGTACTAAAAATTCATCTAATGAGATCTGTAACGAACCATCTTATTGATAGAATTATTATCAGAAACTAAGTGATAAGCATGTAAATTATATCCAAAGGATTAGAGCTGTGACCTGTCAGAATTTTAATATCTGGATCATATTTAAATTAAAAAAAAAAGTTATCCTTTTCCTTAACAAGTATTACCTGTTTATACTTATTTATTCTTTTACAATATATAACATAAGAATATCTGAATAGATTCAAATACAAAGTGATATTTTGTGAATTAAAAAAATTAAGCAGTTTATTAAAATCAGATTTTTTACACAACTATTAGATTGTATATCTTCTAAATTATAACTAAAATTTTATGATGATAATGTGATTATACTTTAGTAAGATATATAATTTATTAAGTATTCAGTAGAATAGCATATTGACAATTTTACTTGCTTTAAACATATATTGAATATTATAATTATTAAAATATATATGGTAATAAAACACATATTAAAATGAAAAGATATTTTATTTTTGATAGATAAAGTAGATAAATCTTTTGTTAAAATATGTTTTTATATAAGTTTGAGATTTATTATTATAAATCATAATCAAATATAAAAACTATTTTTTAAAAAAATGTTAAAATAAATATTAGATCATTATTTATTATACTTATGAAGTTATGAAGATAAAATACTTTTTAATTTATTTGTTTATAACTTTAATATCAATTACCTATATTAATATTCAGGTAATATTCAGATTAATTAAATAATTATAAAATGAATACAAAACAGATATTATCTATTTTTACTTATTTTTAAATTTATAATCTGAATATTTATGAATATTCAGATATATTTAAGTTGTATTTGAGTAAACAAATAACAGATCGCAGTTCTACAGAGAATACAATATTATTTTTTTTTGATTGAAGATGATATTGTGAGAATGTTTAAAGGCAATTTATTTATTTATTTATCCAAATAAACTATGTCTATTTAAAGATAAATTGCATAAAAATTGAAAATATTATTAGTATAAGTTCATTTAAATTTATAGACTACTTAATAAATTGATATAAAAATTATAAATTATTCCTTTAATTAAGGTTAAAAGACTAGAATAATCATAAAATGATAATTGCTATATTGGTAAATTATAAAGGTTAAAGATAGAATCACTTTCTTTTATTAGGTTATACTGGATAACACTCTTATAAGAGTGTTATCCAGTTCCACTATATTGTTATCTAGTTGTGGTTAAATTGTTACCTAGTTACGGTTAGACTGTTACCTTGTTACCATTTTTAGTGCTCTGTGGTTTTTTTATTGCCTTGTAGCTATCCGATTGGTATTGATCTCCTACGTCTGAATGAATGTCAAATTCTATTTTGGAGGTTGTTGGCCTTCCGTAAGTGTTTGGATACCTGGTTGTATGTCGAGGGTGCTTTCCTTCTTTACCTATTTTATTG